TTCATGTCTTTATGGTATCGTTGACTTGGTTTTGAAACATTGATGAGGACTAATTGCTCACAAAATCTTAATAGAGAAATAAAGTGCACTTGCTTGCATCAAATGCCCTCCTTTTTTATTCAGTTAATTTGCTAACAAAACACAATAGTTAAAGAGAATTAATTCATATCCATTTATTTCCAATGTTGTATTTGTTTTTTTTTTCAAAATCATTTTCTTAAGTTAAGACGCTTTACTTTAAAGAAAAAAATATTTACCTATAGAATAAGTGCATTATACATGTAACTAGAGAAAAAATTTGCTGTTATATTCAAGTCATTCAAAATAGTTCAATACAGTGAACTTTGATTTACAGTGAAGCATTGACTTAAAATGCAATGAGCATTCTTGTTGCAAGATGTATGTGTGCTGCATTAAAACTAAGACACAACTATTACATTACTAGTATTATATACAGAAACGCAAAGGAAACGCAGCATCTGATTTTAAAGGGGAAATTATACGAAGGTTGTCCTAAAATTCTTGGACAAATACTTAATTTTTAAAATAAAGTCCGCAATGACAAACCTGAACGGTATTATCTTTATATAGACCATGAATTATTAAATACACAAAAAATGAAAACAATGCACACTATATTACGCCATTAAAGGTGTAAAAACTTTGTATATTGAAGCCAAATGGATCAATCTGACGGAACGCTAACTTCATGAAAACGTCAAAAATATGGATTTTGAATTTTTATCACATTTTATGAACAAACGTTAATTTTCTTTCTGATGCTACACTGCCGATTTCGTGCATTAATTTATATGTTTAGACCATGATTGATTTAAATTTTAAAAATTAATAATATACACGAAAATTTACGAGTGTCATCAATACATACGCCTGGTGTACACAGACTGCACAATCCAGTCCGACAGCGAGATTAATAACAACGTCATGAATAAAACCCTAGTCACATTTCCAAAAACGATTAACGGCCGAAGGTTTTTGAAGGAAAAATGAGATTCTTCGGGTGACAGTCGACAGTTCGTCGCCCGTTGTCTTGCCTTATTTTGGCCTCCTTTTCTTGCCAGCCGACCAATTTTGTGTCCATCGGTCTACGTTATATTTTTTTCTGCGTCGGTGGCCGATTTCTTCAATTGAAGTTATCCATCGACCAACCCTCGATCATCCTCCGACCATCGGCGGTCAGTTTATTAAGTTCGTACGTTCGTACGTCGTTCGACAATAAGGGTGTCCAAAATTTCGGCCGACGGTTAAAAACAAACTGTAGCTCAGAGCTCGATGATCGGGCGACGATTGGCCAATTTGTAAATATTTAACTGTTAAAGATACATCACACAAACAACATTTTGAAGCATGGATTGATGTATATTTTTTTGAAGGGAAGTAACATAAATAATTGATCTTTAAGATATAAAGAAATAATAAGGATTCCTTGCTGCTTAGATATGCACCATTTCTCGTTTTTTAATGCAATTCTATACAAAATTTTGCACACATTTTCAACATTGAGTCTCAATCTTACAAAATTCTGCCAGTTTGCCTTGCAAACATTACTCACGTTACTTATCTGAGTATAGAATCTATGAAAAATATTGCTCATTTCTAAAGAAAAAAAATATGTTTTGTGTTATTTATCCAAGTCATCGGTGTTCATATGAATTAATGTGACTGCTCCGTGTCGCAGGATATTCATGTTGGCCGATCACGTTGTTTCACCCGACAAAACCAGAAAAATTAAGTCGCCCGACCATCGGCTTAAATGTGACCTAGGCATAAGGATATCCTCTTTTCGTCAAATAACAGTGATTTTCCATTTCTTGTAGCATCTTTTAAATTTTACTCTCCGTGGAGAAATCGTATACTGCTGTAACACATCGACAGACTAATTATATTCCGATAATGTTAAGTTGGCTGAATAAATATTTTGTGTCTGACGTCGTTTCAACTATATGTAACCATAATTAAATGATTAAACATTTCCCATAAGGATGGCGGACGTCTCTTATTTTTCTTTAATCATTTTTGAAACATACTTCATTATCTGAAAGACGGACTTTTAAAAATGACATAGAATACTTATTTCTTTCACGAAGATTTCGATATAGATGAACCTATTGCAACTTTTTCAAGCAGTAATTGTTGTGAATGGCAGCCTTAAATACTGACATTGAATGGCTTGAAGGAGGCGTTTAACAGTCATGTATTACTTTCAAAATTTAAAGTTTTAAAATTATAAAGTTAAGCCTAGACATATTTTTGAAAATCATTAGTTAAAAAGTTCTTATGCTTGTAGACTATTGTATGTTGAGTTTCTTTAACGTTTCAGTATCAGCATCTTACCAAATGCTGTAATCTTTAAGACAGACTTAAAAATTGCTAAACATGCATATTTCAGCATAGATAATCAAATACCCTTGTCCATGACATTATATGCGCGGCCTTTCCAAATACTTGTACATTGTAAAACTATACAGAAATCGTTAAAAATAAGGTTAAATAAAATTGGAATATATTTTTTAACTTGTGATTTCTTAGTGTCATTATATTTGATTAATTATGTGACAATGATTGCTACACTTGATAATATCATGCAGAACCCCACCAGTACGCTCGTTTAAAGGACAAATTCTGTGTGTAGGAATGATACATTTAACTTGGTAATTCTGGGATAGATGAGTTCGATGCTGATTTATTAAGGTCAGATGAGACGTTCCTCAATATCTGTTTAGTATATCTTCGTAATGTATGAAATATATTTAAATTTTATAGTTACATTCTGATTTCTTAACCAAATTCTAAACGTCGTTGAAAATTCAAACACTAAAAAAATTTAGAATTGGAAATTCGATCTCATGACCTCGTGATCACATAGCCAGCGCACTTCCGAGTGAGCCACTGTGAATTGTGATGCTTGTATGTAATTGTATGTAAATTTTATGATATCCGTATTATGACTTTGATTTAATACATATTTCTACTCGGTTCGCCTAAACCGACACATGATATAAAAACTCTAATGTAGATCTTAGGTATCACGAGTTTCAAGAGTTTAGGACTAAAGACACTGCATTTTTAGGACTATGTCTCAGAAGGAGTTCCATGGGTAAAAAATGGAAGAATTTTCAATAACATCACATTATCTTTCTTTATTCGGCACTCGAGCAAATAATGTCATTTAATGACTAATATTTTAGGAAATTTAAAAATCTCTGGAATTCTTAACTTTCATAAAAAATAAACGGCATGTATGATGAGGATTACTCAGCTGAAAAGTATTTTCTAATTGTTTTGTTAATTAGCTAGTAGTTTTACTTACTTTTCCGAGCAATAAGAATATCAACGAGCTATGGTATTTTAAATCTCTTGTTGATGTAGACTAATAAATCATTAAAACATTATCATACTTCAATAGAAATGATTGTTTACATGAAACGCACTTATTCTCTTTTACATAGTTGTTAAATAAATCATCATGATTGAACAGATGTTAAAGAGCATTTTACAAATTAAACATTAACGTTTTATTCTAACGTCATACATTTGTATTATTCCTCTTTTACGGTAAACCTTTTCATAAGTTGAACCTTGCCGTCCGTGAAGAAAAACAAATTCATAAACTATAGAAGACATGCATCCTAACATGAGAAAAAGAAAACATTTGCTATAATATTGAAGTCATTCATCAACCCTAACAAAAATGTACTACAGTTAAATATAATGAACATGAAACTTGACTAAGAATCTACTGTTTTCACCAAACAGAACAAGACGCACACGAAGAATATCCAGTCGGAAGAAGATACTCACTCCTCTGTGGCACCAGAGAAAATCCGTATATTAGTGAAAGAAAACGATTCACAATTTCAATAAACTGAGCTGTGGGAACAAATGCCCCAAGTCCAACTTCTACCTTGGCAACAGATTCAGTCCAATGTTTTTACACATTTCACCAATTTTTTCAGAGCAACGATAAACCAGTTGAACAATACAGAGGATTCACAACGGGCTTAATCGACCAACTGGGAATGCTTACTCCTGTAAGACACCTGATACATTCTTTGGTGTTTTCAGGTGTTTCTTGTTTGCCTTGTTCACGTTTTCAAATTATTTTGCAGATTAATTATCATTGTACAATAGAAGTGTCTAAATAAATCGATTTTTTGCAATGACATACTCCCTATGTATCATGCCAACTTTTTACATATAACCCCCCCCCCCCCCCCCAAAAAAAAAAAAACAAAAAAACATTAAGGAATTTTAAAAGTACTCCGAACCTGATAAAATCTTGCAAATGAATTAATTATGTCTACCAATATTTAATGTACTTGACCCGATTTTATTCAAACTGTGGTCTATCAAATGAAATTATAGCAAAAATTAAATAGTAAAATATAAATAGGTTCTCAGCACTTCTCACGATGTACATATGGTGTTGATAAGAATTATAATTAAAACTTACATTTTTGACATGATTATGTCCTTGCGATATTGAAATTTCTTAATGACCTTAATACTGCACGTTAATTTGCGAAAACTATGTCATTCCAATATCAAGTGACAAGTCGAAATAAAAAATCAGAAACTCCTCAACATGTAGATTTGAGCCAAATTACATTTTTCTGATATCAGTAAAGTACTTAAAATGAATTCCCCATCCTTGAAAAGAATGTATTTTTCATCAAGAAAATTTTTCGATATTTCCATTTTCAACTTAACTGTGAACTTCAAAGTACAGAAATCGATCTCGTTTTGATTCTTTCAGAAAGTAGTTTCATGACTAGTGAAACATTGTCTTAATAAATTTTATGATATTATCGCTTTTATCTCTTAAATGATAACAATATCGATGAATTCATAATAAACAAAAAAAAAAAATTATTTTATATTATTTTGCATGTTTAATAAAAACGTTCTGAAATAATTAAGTTTTAGAGTGCATTCAGTCTATTCCAAATATACAAGCACATCTTTAATAACACCAAACATTCAAAATTCTTACAAATAATAGACTTAATTGCTAATAATTTTACTAAACTCTATTTTGTCTATATAATCACAGTCCTAGTTTATGTAGAGCTTCTGTACACTTCCATTGCAGCATAATGTAATGGCTGATCATAATTTAAGTCAGTTTCTTTGCCTAACCATAATCACACTCTTTCGTAAAGCTTCATCATCCGCCAGTATCTTCCATACCATATATTGACCGCCAATCACTGCAGACTTGGCGTACCTTCCGTTAAGGTTTGAGCGGAAACAGTCTTTGTACCACCAGGCGCCTTTAAACATTTGAGCACAATTACGACTTTCCAAGTCGTTGTCCTGGTCATGTGTACTAAATTTCATACCATTATGAACAAAACCGTCACCTGTAATACAGTATACTAGTAATTGACAATTAAATATACTATTTATATATAGAATATTTATCATAACAAAGTAATCGCCAAAATAGTTATCGTTGCTCGGATCTGTTTTTGGATATTGATAATATATCAATGATATATTTTGCATTACAGCAAAAACACTTTCGAAATTATGTTTGATGTGTATACGGTGAGTATGTTAATTTAAAACTCGGTTCCGCAATCTATTTGAAAAACACTTATTTGTATTTTCGTCACTCTTCTTGGCTAGTTAATTAATCGTATCAATAAAGGAAGGGATACTTCATATGATTGCTGGGTCGAACTACTTATTTATTGCTTTAAATGGTTAGAGGAGACTGTTGCTGTTCCTGAGAAATGTAGTTTATAAATAGTTGTTTTATGTTTCAATATTTCTCATAGTGTACTAAAAATGAAGATAGGATAAAGTGTATGTTGTGAAGAACGATAAGAAGATTGCAAGACTGAGTATTATGAACAAAATACATATGATATCTAGTTTTAATTATTACAAGCCAGTGACCCTTTGAACAAAAATTCTTTATACTAAGCTAAAATTTTCACAATCTTGTAAGTTTTTGTCTAAAAAGATATTTATTTTCTACAATATTATTTATGTTGTTTTTAAGGGACAATGTCTATTGGAGATGGCGCACAATCATACATTTTCCATTTTCAATCTGTGCCACTTCCAACTACACTACAATGTCTTTACCCCCCCCCGCCCCCCATTTCTATAGTCATGCAAACACGTATTTTCACAAACCTTTGAGGTTTTAAAACGTTACGGTGTTATTCATTTTTTTAAATTTTAATATATGCTGATGGTTTAAAATTAAACCATAAACAAACACACTTGTGTCGATTGGAATCTTAAATATATTGAAAAAAAGAAATAAAGATGAAAGAGATCTCAGCTCATGCTTTAGAGCACAGGGGCATTAAGTAAGCCTTCAGAAGGATGCTGTTTAAAAATCAAGTGTTTGTGTCCTTTCTTAAGACTCCTATGTATTGTTTCAGATCTGAAAAAAGGCAAGGGCTTGCCCTGGGATGTAGCTTGCGATATTGTCTCATCCAAGAAAAGTTTATAACTCTCATCACTCAGCACTAAAGAAATTTGGCATGAAAAATGGAGATGACAAAAAACAACATTCAAGCTCAAAGTCCACTATGAACAATACAAATCCGAAACAGAGCAAACCTATTCCACCAAAAACATCAGAGGTGAGATCAGGTGCAGATCTCAATACTCACCCGCTGTCCCGTTATATCCAGATACTGTCACTGTGTATTTATTGTCTTCATCTCCGATGTAAAATGTGGTGTACACAGCATAGGCATGTTGCCCGTTATATCGCTCAACATCAACTCGAAGTTCTTGCTTTTTATCCTTCGTTAAGGTGTGGATTGCATCATTCCCTATATTTATGAATTAATTTCAAATTCACAGAAATATAAAAAATAATTTCAAATCTACAGATGAGGCTGCGTGGGGCGCAAGCGCTTCAAATTAAAGCTTGAGTTTTTCATTAAGATTGTTTTATTCATATTTATTTATATATATAACTCTTAATATATATAATATTCATACCTATCCAATAATTTTTAGTGGCATTTCCAAATCCGTGTTTATACTCTATCCATGTCCTGTAAAAATCGACGTCACCATCTAGTCTTTTTTGAATTACCTGTAATCAATAATAATTTTTATTTATACTGTTTCGTAAAAAAACATGAACAACTATAATTTATTCTCCTCAACTATATGTAAAGATTGAAGTCATCATATTTGTCAGTATGTACCATTATATATAGATATAAAACAAAACTGAATAACATAGAATTGTTTGAACAGTTAGAAATGTAAATGTTAAGAAACTACTGCAAATTAAAATCAAAAATTTGTAGGTAGATTTTTTTTGTTTTAACTCTGTCAAGTACAGTTAAATCCACAATTTGAGGATTAAAATTCTGCTGTCCTTTGTTATGTTAAAAATCATCCCTGAATGTAAGTCCGAAATATCTAACGTTTTGAAGACTCCTATAAGACTTTGATATTTGACGTGCTGGGAAAACATCAGAACCAGCGTTATAACAAAAACTGGAAAATTGCCGCCTCCAACCGGAGGCGGCAATTTTGGGTTGATTTTCATACCTTGGAAGCAGAATTAAATGTCAAATTCATACCTTATCAGTATAATAGTACAATCAATTTTGTACTCACAAAAAACGTTTTTATGGTTCCTTTATAAAATATACTATCCGATGGAAACATGTTATCTGACTGTCTAGATTTGTTTTAATTTCTGACATTTTAAGTCCTCTATCAAAATATTGAGTGATGTTTTCATTTCCCTATATATTGATGAGAAGCGTTGTACTATTGATAAAATGTGAATTCGGCATTTCACTCGGTTCGCAAGTATTTAAAAACAATTTCCAGTTTTCATAATGGCGGTGATTCTGACGTTTTTCTGTTACGAAAAATATCAAAAAGCTCAAGGGAATGTAAGATATTTAGGACTACCTAATGTTTGGTAAATACTATAATTAAGGAATGAAACTTACTTTCACCCTTGTTATAGGATATAACGCAAAGCAGTTTATAAAGAAGCAAAAAAGTTATTAACATATTGCATATCGTATAAAATAGGTAAATATGATTAAGCTTTATTCCTTATAATTCAAATTCAGCGTAGTAAATAAGGGATTTTTCCTCCAAAAATGGTCTTAAAAGGTAACGTCAATTGCAGTGTACGTTACGTAGGCAAAGTATATTATTATACGATATAAAATAAATAGTTTATCAAATCAAATGACGTATTACAACTAAATTTATATTATTCAAGTATAATGCAGTTTCTCGATTACCATTCCTTATTCAGGTTTTAATTTTGCGGGACAAGTTCACGTCCAACAGTCATAATGTTATTATGATATAGCTTTGGTTAATTTGTTTTCATGATAAGCTATCATAACATCTGTAGCTGTGTTAGATTTCTTACATTTAAAGTTGAAAAACATAATAAAAGGATTATTTTTTATTTTTCAGTAATGTATCAAAAACTAAAACATTCCTCACCGTCCACCCTCCTCCATCTGTCGTCATGTCACAGAAGACCTCTCTCCGGGTGTCAGCGTAAATAACGTACACTCCATCTTGCCCTTCTTTGCTTGGGTCTCTTTTCATTATATCAGAACAGTCTTTATATATGTTCTCTATTCAATGTAAAAATAAAGTAAAAGAAACTGAACAATAAATTTCATTAAACTTGCTCTTTTTTCACATGTGCTCTTTATACATGGCACAATAGATAACCCTCACTGATCAGTTACTGTGAGTTGAAAAAATAAGTCTAAATTTCAAGCCCTTCAACGACTGAATGTGTGCAAATTTCTCAAACTGGATGTTTTACAAAGACAAAATCAAGCAATCCTTCTCATTTAATAAAATTAGTACTTGTGATACGAGGATCATTCAAAAAGTTCGTAGACTTTTGTTCTAACTTTTTTATCTGACGTCATATTATATCCAAATTTGGTACACATATTTTAATAACAAATTCGAATAAATCAAGTAAAAGAATGGAATATATCTTAAAATTTATAAAAATTATCAAAGATATAGAACAGCAAAAATGGGGTCACGGAGCAACGTCAAAATTGATTAATTTACTAATTTTCACTTTATACTATCTCTAGTCTTACCTCTAATAAATGGAGCTGAAACAAAATCAGATTCATAAGTTTGAATAAAGTCTTGCTATATTACTTAAAATGCTATCAGGTAATGTAATATATCGCTCCGTTTGAAAGATATCCGTTTCTAAATACATTTGAACTTGATTAAAAAAGGCAAAAAAGCATGACGTTGGAGGACGTCACGGAGCAGCGAGTAGCAAAAAATGCTTTGAATTCGGGAAACTTCTTTAACAGACCTTAAAAAATTCTGTATTAACCAGGAAATATATGAAAAATAAGCCGTATATTTAAAATGTATTGAAAATACAATTTTTGAGTGGTAAATTGTTTGAATCGGACGATAGATGGTCTGCAAAGAAACAGGCAAAATTTAAAGAAATCTTGTCAAAAGAGTTGGAACGTCATTAACGCGATGTGCGCTTCAGTGTTACGGAGGTAATGGAATTGCGAGGTAAAAAAATTGAAAACATTAAGAATCTAGTTCAAGCTATTTGCACAATTATTAGCAAACTAGAAGTCAAGTGTTTAAGATATGTTTTGAATGGAGAGGCCGCTACAAAACGCATATGAAATTAAAAAAGCATCTCTAGTAATTTTGAGAAACTTTCTCAACGTTGTTTTTGACGTTATAATGTTGATTAACCGCGCTCCGTGGTAACAAAAGATGACTTCACACTTCGATAAAACAAATGTTTTATTTACGAAAATGTGTTGATCTATAATCCTGTTATAATAATGTGACGATGAGGGACAATGTCTACGTATTTTTTGAATGACACTCGTAGACTTAAGAAGACAGAATGGTCCTTAAGCATTATTAAATAAATATTGTTAAACTCAACTAAAAAGACATTTCCTACAATGTAATTGAAGTAATTTCCTTACCTTTTAAAACAGGTACACATTTACCGCTAATACAAATGGCATCATCAGTACAGATGTTGTTTAAGCAATTGCCCGCCAAGTGCTAAATATAAAATCCATTCAGAGTCCTGATTTGTATAATAATATATTAATTTCAATTAGATTCATTTGAATGAAAATATTTCAAGATCTTTTTCTTACCACTGGAAAATGTTCTCGTTCTACATGAAAGGTTTGGCCCGTAGTCATTAGACTGCTGTTATACTTGGTAACAAATCTTGTGTTAAGCCGGCATATCTTTTCTTCTGGTATCCAATCCACTGAGCCACACAACTTAAACTTGAAACAAATCATCATGCACATTGCATTGTCAGTATTTCTCAAAAGGTTAAAACCTGGAAAAGATGAATTTTCATAATTGCTAACGATCAAGGTTTTTGGGTCAAATGGTTCGAAGCACTGTGAGTAGCATGTCTGTAACAGAGCTAGAACGTGTCCAAAGCGGTAGAGACTGATCATCTTAAGACTTGCAAACAGTTTTATAACTAAATGTTTGTCAAATCGGTGGGTTCTTCCATAACGAGTTACTGCTTCTATATTATATTCATTTCTGTAACCTATATACCAGTCGTTAAGGTTTGACTATTTATTATTGATGAGTTTTCACGTGATCCTGTCTATGTTAGTATGGCTCAATAGTTACGATATTGTTGATTTACAATTTTTTTTAATATTTGATTAAAAAAAATGAGTATACTTAAAAACAGTTGGTAAAGGTAGAAAAAGGGGGACGGTTGAGGCTTCACATCTTTTTTTTCAATGATTAATTGATCTATGACGTAGGTTTTATGTGTATAAGACCAATATCGATACATGTATGTAGGCCTTTCAACTAATTTTTCAAGTTGCACATATGGTAAAAAACATTGCATAGATAGATTTATAGGTATATGAAATTATCAAAAAAGATAATAACTTATGCATACATTTAATTACATCATTAAAAAGTTTAATTATTTATAACTGACTTTTCCGATGTTGTGTTTTAAGGATAGGTAACTCAGGTGTGAAAAATGACCAACTTAGTGCCGATTTATGAGTTATCGTTTATATGAATGACATAAAGGCTGCTTCAGAATTGGTATTGTTACATGTATGTACACAGAAGGGTTTCTTACATTGTTTTGTACACACAGGCACGTAGCATCGTTTTTGAAAGTGGGGGGGCCAACCTGAGAAATTTTTTTTTCTCACCTGAAAAAGTTGACAAGCAAAAAAAAAAAAAAAAAAAAAAAAAAAGGGGAAAATTAAAATTTGCCCAAACTCGAAAAACCTATTTCGTGGGGGGGGGGGGGGGGGGGGGGGTTAGTGACCAACTTTTTCAAAGCCAACTTACTATCACTCCCAATTTTTTATTTACTATAGTAAAGGTTATGTTGGGGGAAAAAGTGGGGAGGCCAGGCCCCCCCACGCCCCCCGGATACTACGTCCCTGACACAAATGAGTGTTGACCATAAGAAATAGAATGCCTTCACTCTACTGAAATAACAGGGTCAAATGAATGGGGAAAAGACTATTTTCAATATTTTTAACTCTCTTTGACGATTATTATGAAGAAGAAAATTTAATCTCATGTTTTTTATGTGCGCGCTTTTTCGATTCCTTTGTAAATATATACCCTAAAATCTTGAAAATAAGACGGATATAATAATTAGCTGGTTTTGAAAATAAGCCACCTATTTCTTGCATTAAAAATTACTCGAAAATAAGCCAGTTTTGAAAATAAGCCGGTCCTGACAATGCCATTTAGGAAAGATGTTAAACATTTGACGAGTGAAAACTTTGACGTTTTTTATACTGTGCAAAATAAAACTGAGTTATCTTACTTTAATTCATTTAACCTTTACCAGTCTCTGCATACGACATAGAACTAAGTCTGTAGGTACTAATGAACTTATGTAAAATTACTAATAAAGGGTAGTTTTTAAAGTTTATTTTTTTTACCAGTAAGCATGTTACGTTTGCTAAAAAAAACTTCATTGCGGAACCAGGTAACATAGTGATTTTTTTATGATATTGTCAGAAGCAATAATTGTCTCATCTAGACCTGTACAAGCTAACAATGTGTTTAAAGTTGTTATAATTAAATAAGTAAATGGATAAAGGAAGTTTTTGTTTGTAAAGCATTTAACTGTCAGGTAATACTGCCCGAGGTAAGAAACCTGCTGATCGGCAGGGCTAGGTAGTAATTACATTTCAATTTACCGTAACTGAGTTGTATAAATATGTGTTTGTTTGACTAATTTATCAAGTGATTCAATTGCAAGCGGATATGCTATTTATGTTCATAAATAATTTTATGCCCATTTCTTGTGTATTGAAAGTGGGACAAGCGAGATAACTCTAATACTTTTGTTCGGTCTTGTTTTTGGAACAGCCTCAGTATATGATTGAGTACAATCAGTGGTAGCGCCATATTTGTATGGAAATACAATTTTATTTTTGAACAAGCAAGTTGGCTTACAGCGTGTCCAGTGCACAGTTAATACATTTGATGGACTTCTCGTGGTGTGATCTTTTGGATTTCCAAGGAATTCAGCACATTTGTAAGTCAGTGTTAAAAGACGAGACTTGAAATTCGGTCCTGGTACACGTGGAAGGCCTACGTGCGTTCCGATTTTTCATCATTCGTAACCTGTGTTGTCCCAACGATCATTGTTTTGTACTGTGTTCTTCCTTCATCAAGATGTCTGTATTAATATTTGGTGACTCACACATTCAACGCTTATATCATTATGCGAGGAATCAGAGACAACTTTGAAACAATTATATTTAATGTACAAAATGTAGCGATCTCGGTCATTGGGATTAGTGGGGACAGAATAGGTCGAAGTATGGACATTAGAGTGCTAGAAGAGGAGATTCAAAGGAACCGACCACAGAAGCTAACTTTACATATTGCGGGAAACGATATCGATCAGCCGCAGGCCGATGAGGATTCGGTTAGGGAGATTGTGTCAAAAATAATGGCAGCATGTGACTTGTTTTTAAACCGGTATCATTTAAATAAGATATATGTGTGTCAGTCGTTACCAAGATATTCCACCAGACACTGCCGAGTTGTTTTAACGTTATATAATAAGTAAATAGTCTTGGCAAATCAACTTTTAAAAGAAGAAGTTAAAAACAGAAGGCAGGTTGTGTACTGGAAGTTAAAGGGCTTGAAGAACTCTGTAGTGAATAACTTTTGTGATTAGGGCAATCAGGGGTGCTGTGATACATAGTACAAGTGATAGCTAGATAAATAGTTTGTATGTCATTTAGCCATATAACAATTATGGTTAATTTGCATCTTAAGTTTATGAAACAGGCAATACATCTATATGTACCTTAGCCTTAGTACCCTAGTGACTTAGAACATCTTACAAAACGGGTATTAATGATTTAAAAAAAAAAAGCTTATTATGCATATATGACACAATGTTATACTTTCAGCAGTTTTCTGTTTAATCACATATTAGATGCATTGTAGAGAGCCAGTCCAAGAGTGGGAAATACAGAAAGGGACCCTTGTGATCAAGCATTTATTTTTACTTAGAACAGTAAGTCTGGAAACTTTTTCTACTGCATGAGTTGCAGAAGAGCCTGTGATAATTTGCCACATGTTCAAGTATGAGTGGTAATTTTGCCACATTACTGAACAATTAGTGGTATTTTAATGTATTACTGAATCTTGATAATTTTATCAAGTTACAAATGCGATAATTCTATCGCTATGCTTTAAAATAAGTGATAATTTTATCACGTCTTGATCAGTGCTGAATCTTGATAATTCTATCAAGTTATAAATGCGATAATTCTATTGCAATTAGTGATAATTTTATCACGTCTTCAATAGTGCTGAATCTTGATAATTCTATCAAGTTACAAATGCGATAATTCTATCGCTATGCTTTACAATTAGTGATAATTTTATCACGTCTTGATCAGTGCTGAATCTTGATAATTCTATCAAGTTATAAATGCGATAACTCTATCGCAATTAGTGATAATTTTATCACGTCTTCAATAGTGCTGAATCTTGATAATTCTATCAAGTTACAAATGCGATAATTCTATCGCTATGCTTTACAATTAGTGATAATTTTATCACGTCTTGATCAGTGCTGAATCTTGATAATTCTATCAAGTTATAAATGCGATAATTCTATCGCTATGCTTCACTAGGGATAGTGAATTAATTAGTGATATTGCAATGGTTTCTTGATACATTGTGTAGCTATATTTCACTAGTGCACTGTAATTATACAGATTGTTTTAAGATTTAAACAATAATTGGTATAAAGAACTACCCTAGAGTCAGGTCTAATGGGTAATTTTATCCTATTGCCTGATATGGACTAATATTTGGATGAGTAAATCAACAATAATTTTGCCACATTAATCAAAAGCTGATCATTTTATCAGTCATAGATAGGTTGAATTCTTGACATGATTTGTATAAATTAGGCATACATGCTAACATCCATTTACAGAGATGAGTACCGGTAATAGGCCTACAGACTATGGGGTGGTTACAAAGCCAGTTAATTTACAACAAGAGGAAGTCGCAAGTGACACTCCAACAAGCAACAATCATTCAAGCCAATTAGAAGATGGCAATTTTACCAAGTAATTCAGGTACTAATAAACAAACAGCATCTAAGGAGTTATCGCTTAGCGCAGGGGTTAAGAATCCCAGTATCATTAAGCCATTGGGTCTCGGTGTAGATTCTAAGATAAAAAGCAAAATCTGGGGAAATGAATTTGTTGATTTGGAAATTTGTTAGGAATCAAAAATAAGAATAATTATAAAGGCTTTGAAATCAGTGAAATCTTAGAAGGGGAGTGTGAAATAAAGCCCAAAAAGCAAACATTAAATTCAGAAATCCATAGTGAGGCATTGGCTATCAGTTTGGGTAAATCCAAAGTAGGTCTAAATTCTGGGTTTCTGGTATTCATAATCAATTCAAATCTGTTCAATATCAGGAGGTAGAAGATGCAGTAGGTTGAATGCGCATATATGAGAAAAATTGCGGGTTGTTTAAATTGGATATTCAGAATGCATATAAAATTGTTCCAATACATTGTTCAGATTGGGAATTGTTGGGTTTTACTTTAGAAAATGAATACTATTTTGACAAAACTCTCCCTATGTGACTTAATTTTTCTTGTCAGTTATTTGAAGAATTCAGTACTGCAGTACATTGGGTATGTGAAAACAAGTTAGGCTTACATGGGAGACTAGTTCATGTTTTTGTTCAAGGATATTGGTATTCCAATTAAGGAGTTAAAAACTGTCCTTCCCTGTGCTTCGCTTATATGTTTGGGTATTGAGTTGGATTCTATTTTGATGGAGTCATGTTTAGCACAAGACAAGTTAACTAAAGCTAGACACCTAATACAAATTCACAAGTCTAAAAAATCTATAACATTACTAGAGTTACAGTCTGTAATAGGTCTGTTAAACTTCGCCTGTTCAGTGGTCATTCCAGGACGCCCATTTCCTAGGCGGCTAATTGATCTGTTAATTGAGTTAACTCAACCTTTTCATCATAGGAGATTGAATAAGGAAGCTCGAGCGGATTTAAATGCTTGGGGATTGTTTTTGGAGCATTTCAATGGCAAGTCACTGTTTTCATCAGAGCAATGGGACAATTCTGACTCATTACAATTGTATATGGATACAAGTAACATTGGTTTCTGTGGTTATTTACGAAATCAGTATTTTAGTGGTATATGGCCTAAAACCTGGAAAACCTATCATATTACAATAAAAGGAGTTATTTCCCAGTGTACTTGCAGTTCAGCTTTGGGCAGATCAGTTTGAAAATTGATGTGTTATTATTAAAAATTTTTTCACAGATAATGATGCTGTTGTGCACATCATCAACAAACAAACCTAAAGTAAAGACAAATGGTTCTTGTTTGTCGTTTAGTAGTGCAATATTTTAAACACAATATTTTATTTCAAGGAAGGCATGTATCGAGTTTAGATAATGTTTTAGCTGATCATCTTTCTCGCCAGCAGATTCCACAGTCCCTACAAAAAATTTCCTACAACAACCCTGTAGCATGCCATAACAACGAGGACAATCTCAAAGTTTAGAATCAATAGCTTCAGATCTAATAAATCAGTCATTAGCAGCATCAACTCATAATACTTATCAAAGGGCAATTGAATATTGCCATTGTTTGGTGTCATCATTTTGCTTTGCCAAGGAAAGGTGTACCAGCAAAAGCAGAAGCTTAAGATATCATTTTGTTTATAGCTTATTGTTACTGGCAACCTATGTTTCAGCATTAAGTATTCAACATAAGATAAGGAATATGAAAGGCCCAACTTTTAGTGAAAAAATGTTTACAAGGTTACAAGAATAAGACAAGCTTAGTGGACCCTAGGTTACCTATAACACCAATCATTCTTAAACAGCTGATGGCTTCTTTACAATATACTACAAGTTTATATTTTGTACAGGTATTTATGAAAAGTGTGTATTTAGTGGCATTTCACTGTTTTCTTAGGATTGTAATTTACAGCTTCAAAAGACAGAAATTGTCATTTATTGACAATACAGTCTGTACATTTTTTTTTAGAAAATACTTCAGACTGCCCAGTAGGGTTGGAGTTGACTATGAAAACTTTCAAACATGGTAAAGGTCAAATGTGAAAAATGACAGCAAAGATAACACAATATGTCCTGTTCAGGCCCTATGGACATATTTTCAATTACGAAAACCAACTTCTGGTCCTCCTTTTACTTTCATGGATGGGTCACCGGTGTCACGGAAATATTGTACAGATCAGTTATGTTTGCCATTAAATTGGTGTGGGTTAGATTGTAAATGATATAAAGGTCACAGCTTTAGAATCAGAGCAGCAACAACGGCTTTTTCCAGTGGAGTTCTAGAGCAAAAAATTAAATCAATGGGGCGGTGGTCATTAGACGCTTTCAAAAAGTACATTCGAATCCCCTTTGTAAACCTTTGACTGCTCACGAGGTGAGGTTGAGGTAAAGAGTTATGACCATGGTGACAAGAGCATCTGGTCAGATTATAATTCATGACATTTCAAATCTACTCTGAGTTGAGTTCCTATAAAATTGTGAGTAATTTGTTAACTTGTTTGGTTGATTGCAATCAAGTGTTTTAATTACTGGTGTCACAAAATTATACCCAATCATGGTGACAAGAGCATCTGGTCAGATTATATTTCATGACATTTCAAATCTACTTTGAGTTGAGGTTGAGGTAATGAGTTATGACCATGGTGACAAGAGCATCTGGTCAGATTATAATTCATGACATTTCAAATCTACTCTGAGTTGAGTTCCTATAAAATAGTGAGTAATTTGTTAACTTGTTTGGTTGATTGCAATCAAGTGTTTTAATTACTAGTGTCACAAAATTATACCCAATCATGGTGACAAGAGCATCTGGTCAGATTATATTTCATGACATTTCAAATCTACTTTGAGTTGAGTTCCTATAAAATAGTGAGTAATTTGTTAACTTGTTTGGTTGATTGCAATCAAGTGTTTTAATTACTGGTGTCACAAAATTATACCCAATCATGGTGACAAGAGCATCTGGTCAGATTATAATTCATGACATTTCAAATCTACTTTGAGTTGAGTTCCTATAACATGTATAAAATAGTGAGTAATTTATTTGGTTGATGTCAATCAAGTGTGTTAATTATTGGTGTCACAAATTATACCCAATCATGGTGACAAGAGCATCTGATTGTAAAATAAATATCAAACCAGTAATAGAGAATATGAGGGTTTGGACAATTGTCAAAATATGTGAACAAGTGTGACACATTATCTGTTTCAGGAAAGAGGACATTGGCTTAGAAAAACAGTTTCAACCATGATGACAGGAGCATCTGGTTGTATCGAGTAGTAAAGTTTTGATGTAATTATGCATCTACAACTGTGACACATTATCTGTTTCAGGAAAGAGGACATTGGCTTAGAAAAACATTTTCAACCATGATGACAGGAGCATCTGGTTGTATCAAGAAGTAGTAAAGTTTTGACGTAATTATGCATCTAACAAAGTTTGTGTACAATGCATAATAATATGGTATTGTTTACAAGAGTTGAAATACTTTCTTTGTATGTTGGTAATGTGTTATTTTTCATTGTTTGTATCCGGTTTGTATGAATTTTAGGGATACTTCTATTGTAGTAAGATTAAGACTCGCACTAGGGTTGGGTGGGGATTACTGCTGATGACAGTTCAGATCTGCCTGTCATTGGCAGTAAGTGGCATTTTTACCTTACCCCACCTTTGATGTAAAAATTTTATACAGTAATGTTTTGATCTATTTCGAAGTTGCATGTAGTGATATTGGTATCACTGCAAGGTTTATAAATGTAAATCTATCAAACTACATTTTCATTTTTGTAATAGTTTTACAAAATTGTCATTTGGTAATAAATGACCTTTTTCAACTTCAAACGGTGTTGTGTTGGTATCAGATAGTATAATATTACATCAAACAGAGCAACCTTTAGTGCGAGTATCAGGAAGATGGGCATAAATGCTATTTATGTTCATAAATAATTTTATGCCCATTTCTTGTGTATTGAAAGTGGGACAAGCGAGATAACTCTAATACTTTTGTTCGGTCTTGTTTTTGGAACAGCCTCAGTATATGATTGAGTACAATCAGTGGCAGCGCCATATTTGTATGGAAATACAATTTTATTTTTGAACAACCCTCCCACCTCTCCCCAATAGTTAAAAAATTATAGTGTTCTTAATTGATGTGAATAATTTGACAATATTTTTCCATATTTCTTTTTTCAGTAGGTAAGGCATTTTTACCTTACCCCACCTTTGATGTAAAAATTTTATACAGTAATGTTTTGATCTATTTCGAAGTTGCATGTAGTGATATTGGTTTCACTGCAAGGTTTATAAATGTAAATCTATCAAACTACATTTTCATTTTTGTAATAGTTTTACAAAATTGTCATTGGGTAATAAATGACCTTTTTCAACTTCAAACGGTGTTGTGTTGGTATCAGATAGTATAATATTACATCAAACAGAGCAACCTTTAGTGCGAGTATCAGGAAGATGGGCATAAATATCTTATATAGTAATTTTACTTTTTTAACAAGTTTATATTTCATGTAAATTTATATGTTGTAAACATTGAAATTATCTTTTCGGGATCGGCATTCTCAAAATATAAAGTAGACGATTGAACGTACACCGGGGAACGCCAACATTGAATAAAAACTCTGACAAGCTAAAGTCATTCGTCAATGTTTCCTCCGTCAAACTCTCCACTTTTAAAGTATTTTTTCTACACGCAAGATACTGAACATAGTATTATTGTAATTATTTTATTTTATTATATTCATGATTTCTTTAAATTTAAGCAGTTAAGATCGAACAAGTTGTTCTTATTCTATCGATTACACTTTATTCAATGATTGTATTGAAAATAAACCATGATTGTACTCTCTTACCAGTTTTTTGCATTGAAAATGAGCCGTAATTTGAAAATAAGCCGGTCTTGAAAATAAGCTCCCACTTTCTTACCAAAACTTAAAATAAGCCGCGGCTTATTTTCAAGATTTTAGGGTATATTTTTACAAGTATATGCAGTAATTGATCATCTTACTTGTGTTACTAAGCACGAAGGGGAACGACCGAGTATAAAAATTTGATTAGGTTAGAACTAAGAAGGAGGGCTGATTTCACTTTTTACTTTAATTAAAACTTTTAATTATATGTAGTGAAATGGTGTCCGCAACTACAGTAAATAAGTTTAACATTTGTGCTAAATTTTAAAACCACTGGATTCTACTGAGAGCAAAGAAACACTTGGGAAATGCTAAAAACTGCCTTGCGTGTAAACAGTTAGATACTCCGAGCCTGCTCTCAACATGTTTCAGCTGTGAGTTATTGTTCATAAAACCGACCCCTAGCGGCAGTTGAAAGGCCTAATGTATGGTGTTTAAGATTTCTATATTCTGACTACCCAGTAGAATTATTTTGCAAGCAAGAAAAGACATGAATATTGGCTGATGTTAAAAAAGGAACAAAAAACAAAAAGTCAAGATTTGTTTATGAAAGGCCGATGTCCCCGTATGACAGCTTATTGCGAGCTTTGAAGTTCCTCAACGTTTTTGCGGACATACAGAAAGACAAAACGCACGGACAGGACAAAACTATATACTCCTGAATCTTCGATTTCGTGAAAATAATTAAAAAAAATGGTTGTATGTGTATGTCATTTATATACCATTTTGGCGAGGGCAAGAAATCTTTCTAGTGAGTGCTACATGTATTTCTTTCTTTTTAATATGATTTAGATAATAAATTCTTTATATACCATACAAAAAAGTTTTTTTTTTTTTGCTTTATTATAAATATATGTCTACTTAAATCACTCAAAACCCTAAAATTATCAGGAATTACATAGATTTTAAGAAAAAACATATAAAGAATTTATTTGCGATGTTATTTTTTTTTGTAAGTTTAATCTATGTAATATAATTACAAAAGAGAAATCCGAAATTACAACAAGTGACTCTTCGTCGGCCATATTGCCGCGAATAAGCCGACTGTCTATCATAAACCATGTTAACCTCTTTTATTTGCCTAGTTTGCTTATAAAATTGATTAAAACTTTACAAATCAAACACCGAAATATCGTATAATTAAAATTTATTTTACTTGATATACAAGACAAAAAAGAATTTTTCAGTACCAAGACCGTCACATATTTTGGTAAACAAGCATGCTAATAGTGGACTTGTGAATCTCTGTTATTTTTGTCTATGGTCAGTCAATTGGTCAAATATTGAAAAAAGAAGACCTTGGCACTTTGAAAGAATGGATAAAATATATATGGTGGATGTCGAAATATAATTTTATTCGGCTGACGGACAATAAAAAAAACCCAATGTTTATTTAATATGTTTCAGTACATAATGTGAAAAATATTGTAATTGGAAACTGAACACGCCTTTCTGTATGGCAGCAATGTCAATGTCGATAGTGCTGGAATTAGACGACACTAGAAAAAAGGCTCGGTTCTGGATATTGCAATTCACTTTTTTAATAGATCACGTTTTAAAATAAACAAAATGTATTTAGTAATATCCTTACTTATAAAAGGGTCCAGTTTTGTATTCTACTATACTTCAAGATGAAGTCTACACTTTGTATTTCTTACATTGAAGTATATGGAGATAAGGAATAGTATTCAAATTCAAAAGTCCATTAAACGATACGTTGAAGCAGAGCAAACGGGGACTTCTAAACGTAAAAGATGGGATCGAGTGTCATGGAGGAGTGAGCATCCCCTAACGACAAGTCACATCCACCGTGTACTCTTTGTTTTGATCTAGAAATAACTTATACATATGTCGACAATCAAGTGTGAAAAAAATGATTTAACAAATGCTGTGGAAAAGTAAAGTCAGCATTTGGCTTAATGATATATTGTATTTGTTAACAATAACAAAGTCATTATATCGAACATAGAACTGACAAATTTATGACTTTAAACAAAACTGCTGATGTTCTTGATTTATCTAAAATCGACTATTTACATCGTTTTTAATTACCAAAATTCGACCATGCTCAGATATCGCGAACATCTAAAACATAACTTTTCTACGTGTTAATGTTGTTCTTCACCCCACAACTTTAATCCTACTGGACACGTTATTACAGGTGAGGTAAGAAGGAATTCAAGTATAAATGGGCGCCGGTAAATTGTGAAAAATAAAGAATCAATTGAAGATTTTTTTTATCTTAAGTCATTAATTGATATCTTAACCATACGATTCAAAAGAATTTACCGCTGAAATTTGTGAATATACAAAGAGCAAAGCCATATAATGTGGCAGGGGTCAGCAGACATTTGTGATTTTCTACAGTACAGTAAATCGAGAATGGTCATTCATTTCAAAGCTTTTGTTTACTATCAGCCTAACGTCGTGCAAACTTGTATAAATGCCAAAGACGCGTTATACATATTTAAAACTTGTGTGAAAGTAGGAAAATTGCACAAAATTAGGCTGGTACTTAAAATAATAAAAATGTATAAATGTTCAATTTTTTTTTTATAGCAATAGAGAGCTATTTACCTGTATGACCTAATTTGTTAAATCCATCTGTGTAATTTATTTAAGGAATCACTGTCTAGTTTTGAGAGTATGCCAGGGCATCAACAATGGTGGGAAACATGGGATAATTTGCATAACGGGCGAAGCCCGTTATGCTAAAATTATCCCATGTTTCCCACTATTGATGATGTCCCTGGCATACTCTCATAACTAGACAGCGGTTCCTTATATTTATATTCCTTATATTTCCATTTCATTGTGAAATAAAATTGTAGACTTAGACATTAAAAATGTAGACTTATAGATTGAAATTGCACGAGGACTTCCATGCCAATTTCATTAGTCCTCGCACACTGACGTCAAACACAAAGGCAGCCGCACGAGATTTACATGCATATTTGGCCTCCTTAGCGTCAGACACAGAGACAGATGCGCACGAGAGTTGCATGCGTATTAGGCCTCCTTAGCTGCTGACCTATCGACGTGCCTAATTAACATTCCTGCAGAATTATCAAGAAATAAACTCCCTAAACTTTCAAAGAGTTATCATAGAGAAAAAAAAAATAGAAATGGAAATATTATTTATAATACTTGTAGTGACGTGAGTCCTTCTAAGGTAAATATTCCTAAAATGTGCTCACTGTAAAACACAGTCAGGTCTTGTATCTTTAAATCAAGGCCGTGCCTCTTTGAGATGTTTGTATACTGTATGTATTTGGTTTTAGAAACAAGGAGGTGTAAAGAAAGTATACATTTTTAACATTCATTCAAGACAAAGAAATAGATATTGCAAGCCACTTAAATGCTATTTTTTATTTCAAAATTCAAAGAAAGTAATGTTCATAAATCTTCTTGTCTTTTTTAAAATGCAGGCGTGCAAATTTCTTAGATTGATCGCTATAGCTACAGGCAACTACACAACTTCATTCAATTTTTTAAACAGATGAAATAAGCGCAAGATGTTTCATCCGGCAAACGAAACCGTCGAGCTCTGATTGTACCAGTAATGAAAATTGAAAATGTCTAATACATTATTAACTACAATGTAATTTTTATAATCCTTTTTTGATATGATTAAAGATATGCATGATATTTGTATATACCAATTTTAACAAAAATACAAGAAACCATCAAAAACATTGGCCATAGAAAATAGAAATCAATGGGTTTTTTTTTATGGTAGTCTATATTCAAATAGAATGCATTAATTTAGTTTTCATTACTTAACTCTAAAAGGACAAGTTTTTCGAAACCTTGGAATTAATTTCTTGGGAAGTTATCTCTCTTATCAGGTTCGTCTCCTCGCTTTAAAGATACGACAGTCTTACGTTTAGATACATGCACCATTAACATTCAAGTATTGTGTGCATCCTGGCGTACAAGTTTTGCCGAAAACGAAAGTGGACAAATGCTTAATTTTCTAAATAAGTAGGGAACGGCAAACGTGTACAATAATACCTTTTTAAAAAATTAAAGCGATGCACACAATTTTATGAACTTTATAGGTGCAAATACTTTGTATATTCAAGCCGGACGACCTAGTCTGACGTAACGCTAATTTCATTTAAACGTCAAAAATGTGGATTTTGAATTTATCACACGTTCTTGAATATAGATTAATTTTTATCAATATGCCACAGTGCCAAATGTGTGCAATAATATTTTTGTATCGGTTATAATTGATTCTATTTTTAAAATTCAAAACAGTACACGATAATTTACAAGCGTCACGAATATAAACATTTCGTATACACAGGCTGCACAGCTCAGTCCGCTAGTAATAAATGTTCCTTTGCCTGGAGCTCGGCATTTTGATGTGAGAGTTCAGTTGTGGGTCTTTTAAATCAGACCTTCAAACCCGAGACCCCCTGTCACGGCAGCCATTGGAAAGATAAAGATTCCTTACTAATCATAGATCCTGAGTGCCGAGACAAGGTCTAAATTTGAAGTATAATGACGTCTCAATATAAATTAAAATTTCTGGAAAGGGACTAAAAGAACATACACGCAATTTGACATTCAAATACTGTAAATGTGGACATTTTTGAAGACGTTGTAATTTTGACTAAGTTGACAAATTACCCATTTTTCGTCAAAAATTCCACGACGTTTAATCAATTAACAATGGTAATTCCCTTCCATATGTCGAATCGCACTGAACTCGAAATTGAATCAACTCAGAGTCTTTCACATCTGTTCGTTATGGTTGCAATATTGCCGACTAGGCTTAAACAATATCAATCAATCAATCATACTTAGATGTTTTACTGGCTTCAAACGATAAGTGCCAACTAACAATTTAATTGCTTGACAAACGAGATGGCTTCAGCTTTTCCATCGCCAACTTTCCTTATCAATTTATTATTTCATCATTACTTGTATATGGTGTCCATGCCTTAAAATGTTTTGAATTCTCAGAGAATGCCCTGAGTACGATATTTTTTTTTAACCCAGACAGGTGTCTGACAGAGAAGTTAGTTGTCAGCATTTTCGTAATCTCTATGCTCTGTATAATAACCTTGTTAGCAAATATAACCTATCAGTGCGTTGTATTTTGACTGAAATATGACATATCATTTATAATGTCATTCTTTTCACCAGACAATATTCGGTTATACTAGTGCATATATATAACAATTTTCTGTTATATATATTTTTGTCCATTTTGTCCTTTATCTTGAAAATTTCGGAAAATTTTAAAAGTATGTGACGATTTTTTGCGATTGTCAGAACAAATGCGTTGATTTACGTGTTAAAAACTACAAATTTTCGTTTTTTTTAAAACAATGTATAGAGGAAATATCGTATAATTGACACAGTATTTCCCTTTGATTGTACCTGCTTAACTCGACTTAACAGGAAGACAAACGATCATTTTGAAAGCAGTATTTATTTAACAACAATGATTTATTGTACATGCATTTATAATTTCAACTGCACAACACTTTCGACAATTATACATAAATAGATGCTCATACTTATAATAAAAATTGCTATTGCTTATGCTCCTTAACGGTTGTCCTTTTCTACAATTAGAATTAAATGCATTTTAAGATGTTACCTTTGAGAAAATATGTTAAATATTATGAAAACACATGATATTCATAAAATATCCTGCATACATGTACATTCGTAGCTTTTTATTATTGATTTAGGATATGCATGTACCATTGAATTATTCTTAATCATAATGTGTTTTGATATATATATATATATATATATATATATATATATATATATATATATATATATATATATATATATATATATATATATATATATAGGACTCCAAAGTGCGATGGGACTCCAAAGTCCGATGGGCACGCCAAAGTCCGATGGTCTGCGCCAAACCCCGATGGTCTGACACGCCAAAGTCCGACGGTGCGGAAAACAATTAACGTTTATGACGTCATAGTAGCACTGCGCCCAAATCTCAATGCCGCGACATGCAAAGGTCTTTAGAATAAGTATAAATAAATGCGAAAACTAATCCTTAACTCTCAGGCAGGTGCGAGACTAACGCTCGAAAAGTGTGTATTAACAATAACCTAAATATCTTGAGTTGGGGCAAGACTAACCCTAATCACTCGACTTTGGTGCGAGGACTAACCCTAATTCACTCGGGTTGTGCAATGCAAGGACTAACCCTAATCAATCGAGTGGTGTGCGAGGACTAACCCTCATATCTCTAGATTGATTGATTGATTGTATATTGTTTAACGTCCCTCTCGAGAATTTTTCACTCATATGGAGACGCCACCATTTGCTGGTGGAGAGCTGCAAATTTTGTCCTATGCTCGGCACTTAGGGCCATTAAGCAGGGAGGGATCTTTTTCGTGCCAGCACCTACTGTGACACGGGGCCTCGGTTTATACGGTCTCATCCGAAGGACCGGCCTCCACATCCCGCAGAATATCTCTAGAAGGTGCAAGCAATAAGCAAAATCAATAATAAAAATTGTGTTCAAGGACGAATTCAGAAATGATTGCTTTTGAATGCAGGACAACGGCGTCAAGGATTAACGTTGGATTATTGTGACGTCATAAACGTTGATTGTTCATCCGCACCATCGGACTTCGGCGTGTCAGACCATCGCACTTTAGCGTCGCGCGTCTCATAGGAAACGAGCCATCGGACTTTGGCGTGGCCATTGGACTTTGGCGCCCGTAAAGACAATGAGCCATCGGGGTTTGGCGCAGACCATCGGGGTTTGGCGAGACCATCGGACTTTGGCGTCACCATCGGACTTTGGAGTCTTACATATATATATATATATATATATATATATATATATATATATATATATATATATATATATATATATATATATATATATATATATAATTTCCAATAAAATCCACGAAAAATCATTTCCGTATATTGTCGGCAGATGAATTAAAGAAACCATTATATCAATGGTTCGCTTCAATTAAGTAATTAATGATATTAAGAACAACCAATATCACAATGATTGTCATAAAAGTCTATTTCTCTTTTGTAATCGATTCACCACAAAAGCTGCACTTGTTAAAAGATTTGACAAAAGCTTTCCTGAATATTCTGTCAAAATAACCATAGATGAAAGGATTAACGATATGATTGATCATCATGGAGCGCACCATCAATAACACGATGTTTAAAGTGCCAACGTCCATAGAATACCAATGGCTGAATGGGTCATCGGTTATCACTAGGATAGTTATGACAGTAGGAAGATATGTTAGAAAGTAGAAAATGATAATAGTAATGAACATGTTCATAAAGTTGTGTCTCGCTTTTCGCTTTTTCTTTGATTTCACTAAACTTAATGTTTTTCTTAGTGATCTGACGAAACCCTTGTTCTCTTTGGTTTCCTTAGGATGAGAAAGAAAACATTTTAACCTACTTATGAACTCAGGACTGGCTCTTATTCTTCCAGCTTGATTACGACTTTCGGTTATGTTAGAGGATGGAGAAATTTCCTTTTGTGCATGGTGTGTTTGTTCACCTTCAATAGCCGAAACTGATCGATTGACGGTATTTGTCCATATTTCAGACCCTAAATCTCTACTTATCCCATCTGTACGATCTGACGTCGAATCAAAAGTTTTGTTCTCACAAGTTAAGGACATCTCACCAGCAGGTTGCTCTTGAATAACATATATAGGTTGCTTTTTTGATTTTATCCTTGAACTTTTTTTGTATTTCCTGAAAATCTGAAGACCTGTAGGAATGTAGAATGCTGCAGTGAGTATACCGATTAAGAAAATGACAGCGATCTCAAATGGAATGTAAATATTTTGCAAGGTCTTTTCCGACTCTTCCAAGTGCTTTAAGTCACAAATTGCTACTGTAATATTATTTCCAAAACATATGACATTTTGAAATCGAAAGCCAACAAAAAACAAGACAGGAAGCGTGTTAATCACTGAAAACAGTAAACCTCCAAATGCCGCATTCATTTTCTGGTGACGTGTGAATTGTTTTCCAGTTGGACGACAAATTTTCAAATATCTACTGAAAGAAATTAGTAGCAGAATAGTTGCAGACCAAGTTGACGTCATCCACGAAAAATATTGCAATATCTTGCACAAAAGTTCTGAAGGAAACTGAATGAAATAGAAATTTTCGGTTATCCCGAAGCAAGCCTGGAAAAAACACGAAAGTAAATCCGCTACTGCTAGCATTGGTATGAAGAATCTCTTTTCTGTTTTGGGCATTTTTAATCTATACACATGTATAAGCAGTCCATTGCCTATAATTCCAAGACACAAAAATAAAACCATTGTAACTGTGTTTGGATATAATGCATTTCTGAAGAAAGATTGACAGTCGTTGGGTGTGTGGTTCATTTTCAAATCTGATGATGTCTGAGTAAGCAAAAGATGTCTATGTAAGCAACGAGAAGTATGATAATTTATATATAACTATAGATTAATACTGACCCAAGTATTGAGGAAAACCTGAATTTCATGTGAACGACACGTTTAAGGTATCTTAAAAACTTCCTGTAGGACGACCCATGTAGATCATGTACTAAAAAATCTTTTTATTCTTTCGAGCGAAACTACGTATTGTGAGCTTTTTCTATCCCAATGACTTATATTTTTGTGAACCTTAAATTTCAACAGATTTTAGCATTTCTTTTTGATTTGCCTTTCTTCTGTAAGTCGCACTCAGGGTATTTATATTTGTGTTTAACTTTCACTTCATTTTCTAAGTTTTTCCTTTTTTTATTTGTCGGCCTTGAAGATACTCATATAACTAAAATGCACTGTAAAATATGACCTAAAAAAATAAACACGGGTTTAACATGAAAATAAAAATTCAAATCTTTCTAACATTTTGCTTCTAAATGTATTCTTTCAACTTAGCCGGAAATTTTAACAAAAACTTTGTCGCACATGTATATCCTAAATGTGAGATAATGTATACAAATAAAGAAAAACTTGATTTATTGACAGGAAGAATAAAAATATATATAACAGTATGAGGAAATTTCTTTCTTCTCAGAATCAAACAAGATTACTGATAATGACTTTGTCTTCGTACTTCCGGTAGACAGTCCATTCTTTACCTTCTTTTCTGTCCAAAGGGAAAGTGATTCAAGAATTTTTCGGATAGAACAGGAAGACTCAATTAAATTTGAACAAAATGTTAACAGAATCCAGCATCGTAAACTAAACTTTTCTTCTAAATCATTGCTCAATCAATATGTTATCAGATAGAATTTACTAGAATTTACTGAGAAGTTCAATTTTAAATACTCATACAAAAATTATTAGAAAATAGCAAAAAACCTACAATATTCTATATCAAAATGCCAATATCACTATAAACGTGTGAAATAGATGAAATATTGCGCCTGTAATTGACCAAAAATCAAGCCACAAAAGGAATTCAACATATTTATTTTGGTTTAACAATGTTAATTAAAAAAAACCTTGAATAACAAAAGGAAGAAATCAAGGCTATCTCTATCTTCAATGAAATTGAAATACCAAAGTATTCAAAAAGTTTGTAATTGTTTTTAAAGGACGCGTTAATGAATGTGTCGTAGCTTTGACAATGGGAACACCGCTCTGCGCTCTTCTTCCTAGAAAGTACAAGATCACAGTAGTGAAACCAATTTGAGTTAAACTTCGTGACGCACTCATCGTTGTGTTCTACATATTGCATTCTCTTATAAAAATATACCGGAAAACTTATTCCGACAATTGATTATAAATACTACCCTTACGTAATCATTTGTTCGCACCAGGAAGAATATGCACCCCCCAAAATATTCCCTAAACAAATAAATTCTTCCCTCACTTATTACTGTCAATGACTTAAACTTGGATGTAATTGTGACGGTGTAAAATATCCATTTGTATTATAGCTTTTGTTTATCATTGCTGTTCTGTAACTGTGAAATATTTTTTGATATTGATAATTTACCATTTCTGATCTGAAATATATCATACTTTTTTTTACATACGATAAGACACATGTATATATTTTTATATGTACACTGTAAATTTATTAATTTAATATTGACCCATACATGTAGAAATGTTAGTCTCTAGTATACAAGTGCCTTAATATAATTTTGGAAATCAATTTTAAAAAAAGAGATTAACTTTATATGCACTTAATTTTTTTTTAAAATAACAAAATCTTAATTATTTATCGCCAGTAGAAACTACCAACTTATCATTTGTTTTTTCTGTCTAAGATTTATTGTTTCTCAAGGAAAAATTATAAGCATCATGGAAAGTTGTCAGTAACTGTATAAATGTAGGCTTATCACTTTCTAGTCCATTTTCCAGTCTTCTTTTATGATTGTGATATTTCACGTGTTTTAATATAAAAAATCTTTTTAAAAAAAGCCTGCAAAAAATCAGATATTTCGGACTAATTACCGTCGAGTAAGTCATCAGTCTTTTTAACTTTATCAGCACCTTGAATACCTGAAACATTTGATGAAGGGCCAAGACCTTGAATACCTGAAACATTTGATTAAGTGCCAAGCAAAACTGATTTTCGGAAAATTATATTTTTTTCCGCAATATCAATGTCTTTTACAAAAAGTACTAACTATAACTGTATATACTGAATTGTGTCCACTTTTAAAGTTTTCAGTGTAAAGCTTAAGTCTGACAACTTCTAGACAAACACTGACTCTACAATAAAGAACTTTTTTGCAATGTGCACACCAATGGCGGGAGGGTGAACAAAAATATTTTTATGATATTTTATCAAATTGTATTAAATGCAGTTGCGATAGAGCGTGTGGTTTCCAAATGCATAAATTAAGACCTTAGAAATGAAAAATAGCAATTATACGCCATGGCACGCAAGGCTTGTATATGTAGTCCATGTAATTGTTCCAATTAAAATCGGTGTACTTTAGTTATAAAGGAAAAACACACTTTAATTAAACGTTGAAATTTTAAACTTCGTTTTACATACCTCCTTGGATCTTGTACTGTCTTCAACCATGCTATATATATATATATATATATATATATATATATATATATATATATATATATATATATATATATATATATATATATATATATATATATATATATATATATTTAATTAAAAGCAGTTTTATTATATTGGAAGCCTCTACAAGTTCAAGACAGAAAAAAGGTAAGAACATTTACTCAAACAGAAACAAGCATGCCTTTCAAAAATTTCATGTATCTTTACAGAAAATAAAAATGCTCATGAAGATTTTACTGCTACCAAGATGAATCAGTATATACGAGGGTTGTTAGAAAAGTTCGCGGACAAGTTGTAGTGGAGCGCTATTTGCATGAAACCAGTAAAATCTGCAGACAAAAACTATACACATTTTCCAATAAAAAATGAAAGATTTGGTGTTTTCCGTTTATTCTAAAAAAAATATAAAGCTATTCTATTTTGGTAAAACATGCTTCATTGACCATACCTTTTTTTCGGAATTTGCATTACATATTAGACATTTTGTTTGGAAATTAAAAATTGCACTGTTATAGTGAAAAAAAAAATTCGCGATATTTTTACCCACCGCTACCAAACACATGAAACGTTCTTTGACGAAATTTTTAATCAAATTGGAGGGGTTACCACTATCTTATCGCTTATTAAAGATGACAAATTCGCATAAAGAAAATCAATAATGACAACGTCATTAAGCGTCTTGGAGCACTGCGCTCTTCAACAAAATATGTGTGCAGAATGGAAAATACTCGAAAAAGACTTATATGTTTTAGATACTGCTGGGAATTTCCTACACCGTGTTTTGAACCAAAGTGTTTAAATGGTAGTCCTTAATAAGAATGGAAGGATTGAAATAATTGATGATCAACGCTTGTGATACTTCAACACGCTGTTCATGGCATAGACGTTGCGCCAATGGATTTAGTATTGTTTCAATATGCTACATAGACATAGATTTTAAACTGTCACTAATTAATATGCGATAAGACATTTTAGAAAAAAAAGTTACATCTCTCTATATAGTAATTTAATTTTTAAGTAGGAAAAAAGACATGCAAATTCCAAAGAAATGAAACTTAAATAGATGAACCTGATTGTTTACGTGCTAATAAACAAACGATAAGAATTTAATTAGACGTACGTCATTCTTCCAAATACACATTACATTTTCCTTAATTAACGTGTCCGCTTACTTTTCTAACAACCCTCGTACATCTTACTCAATACCGATATTCCAAACACAATCTTTCAGGGAAAGTTTTAAAAAAGTATTTGTAGTGTTTTTCTTATTTAAATCTCAGTTTTTCATAAGTCCACGCCAAACTTGATATCATTTCTTCTGCTGTAGAACACTTTTCAGTGTGTTTTCACAATTACCACTGAAAATAACATCCTTTTCCAATGCATGGTTAGGATTGAAACATCTGTTATAAAATTAGCATAATTATGTAAAATGAAGATTACGAACGTTAATAAAGAGCAGAAGTACAGTCAATCAATAAATGTATTGAGCAAAGCAAATTGAACATCTGAAAGCTCTAGGGTTAGGATCAGATGAGATGCCATGGAGGGGTAGATATCCCCATCTTTATCTGTCACATCCGCAGCGTAAGTTTCCAGTTTTGGGACAGAAAACGCTGTATTCAAAGATAACTCTATACGAAAAAAACTGATAAATGTTAGGATATGCATTAAAATTGTCAGTCAACATTCAACATTAACGTAGGGACAACCTGTTTTTGGAAACAGGGTTATCAAAATGACTAAATTATTCAATGAACTTTGATGATTGTGAAATGATTGAATTCAGAGCATGCAGATGTAAATAACAAATAATTAACTGACAGTGTTAAATATTTTGATTATTTAAGTAAAACCTAGATTTACTTAACGTAATGAGGAAATTGAACATTACTTGAACATATATTATCAAATTATATAAAATACAGTTGTGATAGAGCGTGTGGTTTCCAAATGCATTAATAAAGACCTTACACATGAAAAAAAAATAGCAATCATACTCCATGGCACGTCACGTTTGTAATGTATCTAATTGTTCCAATTTAAAAAATCGATGTTCTGTTGTTATAAAGGAAAAACACACTTTAATTAAACGTTGAAACTTCATACTTCATTTTAAAAACCTCCTTGGACCTTGTTATGCTCTTCAACCATACTTAATATATATGCATTTAATTAAAAGCATATTTATTATTGAAGCCTGTACAAGTTCAAGACAGAAAGAACAAGGTAAGAACATTTACTCAAACATAAACAAACAAGCCTAAAAAAACTGCATGTACCTTTATAGAAAATAGAATTGCCCATGAAGATTCCACTGATACCAAGCTGAATCAGTACATTTGAAATCAAACATCTTAACCAATACCGATATTCGAAACACAATCTTTATAGGAAATTAAAAAAAATGGTATTTCTAATTTCTTTTTAATATTTAAATCTTAGATTTTCTTTCTACAATGTATGGTTAAGATTAAAACATTTTTTTAAATAAAATTAACATATGTAAAATGAAGATTACGAACGGTAATAAAGCGCAGAATTACAGTCGATCAGTACATGTATAGCGCAGAGCAAAATACACATCTGAAATTTTCAGACTTGGGATCAGATGCCATGGAGAAGTAGGTATCCTCATGTTTATCTGTCACATCTGCAGCGTGAGTTTCCAGTTTTGGGACAGAAAACGCAGTATTCAAAGATAACTCTATACGAAAAAAACTCATTAATGTTAGGATATGCATTAAAATTGTAAGTCAACATTCCACATTAATGTAAGGACAACCTGTATCTGGAAACTAGGGTTATTAAATTGACTGCATTATTCATTGAACTTTGATAATTGTTAAATGATTGAATTCAGAGCAGAGGACTGTGCGATCATGCAAACAACAGTTAATTAACTATTAAATATTTTGATTAGTTACGTAAACCGAGATTTAATTATCGTAATTAGGAAATTGGAATTTAGTTTGAATAAGTTTTCCCCTTTTCATTATCAATATCTTTCATTTTGTCATTTGTTTCATTTTCTAGATCGTCAGATTAGTTCTCTCTTTTTGTCTGTACAAAGCATAAAATTCAACGCCCGTACATTCTTGTACATTGTTGCCAAGAGGGCTTCTTAGATTAAGTTAATGCATACAAGATGGTGACTGTTGTTGTATGAGTAGTGCTCTTCACGAGGCTGGGGGGTGGCAGCCATTTTCAGACTATTTTGATCTCCTTTAAAAGAAGAGCTCCATATAAAGATATAAAAAATGATCAAATTTTAAAACTAAAATATATGAATTTTTTCTTTGCCAAATGATAGTTGACAGCTTAAGATACCATATCTTAAAATATAAGTTAAATCTGGTGGTTCATTTGTGATTAATTTGTTGACCCCCCAGCCTCCTTAATTCATTTCATTCCCTCTTTACGTTTCAATTTTAATTCTTTCATACCATTCTCAATTTTATTTATGCAGATGAAATTGATCCTTTTTGCCATTCTGTTTGTGCTGACTTCTGTGCTCATAGTCATTGAAGCACATGAGACAGGAGATCACGATTTGATAGATCTGATTTCGCCTGGAAACGAGTATTGTTGTTGGAGGGCTGCGTTGTTTTGTTTGGAATGGTGTACGGTTAGCGGGGAGCGGCGGAGAGTACTGAGACCTGGAATTGAAACGAAGGTGATGTTTTAATACTACAAATTTGTTGAAATGTATGATGATAAACTGATAAACAGAGGAAGAGAGAGAGAGAGAGAGAGAGAGAGAGAGAGAGAGAGAGAGATCTCAAATTTTTAAGGTACACTTCAGCTAAATCTGAGAAAATTTACAAATCAGGTTTTTCGCCGTTTTTACTTTTTGATATACCGTATATCGGGTATTTTTTACGTGCTGCTAATTCTTACTAATTTTTACTGGTTTCATACATCCGTAAAATTTAACGCGTAAAATTTCACAGTAGTGAAAAATAAAAAAAAAAAACGCCTGGCCTATATTTTCAACATCGTATGTATGAAATGTCGGCATTAATTGCCACTTAACTCAGGATTTTAGACTAGAATTACATGTAGTACTGTTGGTATCAAATTGATCAACAATTTGGATCAAATAAGCTAATTTTAATAATCGCATATCGAAGGTACATGTGTATAAAAAACATTGTCAATTACCTCGTTAATTTTACAAGATGCTTACTTTCCGATAATGATTTTATTATTACAGATTTTCAAATTATACCCGTTTTTCAAATGAGTTGACCCTATCTTCTGTTTTGTTTGCATTCATAAATATTAAAACGTGATTTTTTGACAAACTGTAATGGTGTCAAGTAAATCATGGTGGTTTGAGTCGTCTCTCTTTATATTTCTGGTTATTTTAAGACGGGCACGTGGTAGGTGGTGCTCATCAATAAAGACATGTAGCAAACTGTGTTTTAACTTTAAATTAAAAAAAAGGAATCCAAGAAGGGCACATGATATTTAAAGGTAAATCAATGAACAAACATATACAAAGAATGATTGCACTTAGTGTACGAGGGCTGTTCAATAAATAATGTCCTCGGTGCTCAGATAGAAGCAAAAGACGCTTTTCAATGATTTATTCTTCATGATTTTACTAATTAATCTCTTTTAAGTAAAATACATGTCCGTAACATTTTTATCCAATTTCTGATCGTTTGTAGAACTCATTTTTGGGTATGACCCTTAGTATACTGGAAAATGGCAGATCCAATGATTTCCTGGACTTGTGTCTTCCTTCTGAAAGGTGTTTTTTCCAAGTTTGGAAATAGAAACAAGTCAAAAGGTCAAAGATCTGGCGAATATTGTTAATGTGAAAAAACATTAACTTTCTGTTTATCCCGAAAACTCCATAACTCTTCAGGGCATGCTGGTTTGAACGCTGTCTTGAAGAAATTCAATATAGTGGATTCCTGATTTTGGGTCCATCCTCTAACAAACCTTTTGATTTCTTGGCCAAAAAGTGCTTTCTCGACTCCTCAATAAATTAAACTGTCTCTCCGAATACGATTTTGAACAACAATACCACTAATATTTAAGAAAATTACATATAAATCTGTATTTGTGTTCTTGCATACCTGTGCACTTGTCAGACATTCGCCGTTTTTATCAAGTACATCTTATGGTAAATTTTGTTTTTAGGGTTTTAAGCAATAGATTCATGTTTCAATATCTGTCTGAAAATAAAACAAACGTGGATAACTACAATTACTGATATTTTAAAATAATATTTAAGACTTTCGTACACGCTGTCGTTTTCACTCATTTTTCAAAATATAGGGTGACCTTTGAGTACTAAGCTTTTTTACTGTCAAACGTTTCTTAAAAACAGTGTAAAATACTCCCGATATGATGTCTATCAAATTTGCTATGTGTCTTAAAGTCAATCATACATCATCAAATATTATTTGTTGAAATTTGGCGAACAGTACATAAGTTGTTATAATTTTTGTTGGCAAGGAGGGTATCCATTTTTGATGCTCATTATATAATTTTTCATCATTGAAATCCACCTGCTCTTTTGTCTATAAAACAGGCATTGGTTGCTGTAAATATCACATATTTCAGTAAATATTTCTTTGAGATTTTTAACAAGTTTTACGGCAGCTTTAAAGAAGCTTTTATTTTCACTCTAGTTTACTGATTCTTTACCATTCATTTATAATGCAGTGTCTCAAAAAGCCCTTGTTTCCCAGCTTCTCACGATGAAACTATGTGATGAAAAGTGGTCACATAAACTGTTATAAATTCATTAAAGATTCAATAATTAGAAAAAGTCAAGTTTAATGTCATATGATATCTGTAATGTATGTCATATAGTTCAGATTATTATTTATTGAACAGCCCTCGTACAGACAGTGGCCCCCGGTAAATTGCGGCAAAATAAAGTTTAGAAAGTAGCATAATGAGATTAATAAAGCAATTCTTCTAGGTCCTAATCGCAACTTTGCAAAATTACAGGAATTAAAAGTAAGAAAAATGAAGAACGAGACTGTGTTTTGTAAGAGGGGTCAATGAAAAAAACATGAATGTCCATTGTTATTCAAAGTTATTCCGATCTTTAAAGCTGGAATACATGGTGAGCGCATTCTTGCCCAAATTTCTCAAAAGGACAGAATGTGTAGAATTGGAAATACAACATATTTAAAGGAGAATTTTGGGCACGCCTGCGCTCGGGGGGAGCTTTTTTAAAAAAAGGTACAAGATGCCAACCGTTTGCTTCGCTATTTACGGGTATTTACATGTCATTGACCTCATTGTGACCTATTTAGTATTCCAATATATCACGTCATCTGTAGACTCAGGTTACTTTGTCAATACAAAAAAAAATAATTAATCACGTGGCTGTAGCTCCGATTGATAACATTGCAATCAAAAGCGACCAACTTATACCTTGCTCGTGCATTTTCAATTAATCACCATCGATTTTTTTTTTTCGGTTTAGTATTTTTATAGGGTAATGGGATATAAAATTGGACAAAATGTTATGATACTTTATTTATTTAAGTCCTGAGATTTAAGAAGCACTTTTGGAGGTTCAAAGAATTTCAAAGAGATTTAGTCCCAATCGTCGCAATACCATCATTCCTCAAAGTGTTTTACTGTAAAAAAAAAAATATATGCACATATGCAAGGAAAAAAACAAGCAAAAAAAAAACCAAAAAAAAAAAAAAACCAAAAAAAAAAAACAAAAAAACAAAAAAACAAAAAACAATCACACTGAATTTTATTACGTTTTTATTTACAAACTTGTAGGCTTCCTTTATCAATTTATCTTAAGCCCGTGTCACACTGTCACGATTTATAGCTACGATTCATTACGAATTCAAAAATCGCAGCAAATCGGGATTTTATCGCAGAAGTACTCGTAGGATATCTTCTTTAATCGTGTTGAATCGCAGCAAATCGCCAAACTTGGCGATTGTTTTGAGCATGTTCAAAACAATCGTGGACACAGCACGATTTTTAATTATTCGTAGACAATCGCACAGCATTCACACTGCACTCGAACTCATATTCGTAGTAAATCTTCGAAGTTCGTGCGACATTCGCGGAACTTCGTACTACTCGCGACACTACGAGAGTCCTACGAGTTATTTCGAATGTCCTTCGAGTTTTTGCGAGTGTCTCTCGAGTTACTGCGAGTGTCCGACGAGAAACTGCGACTGTTCTTCGAATTAATAAGAACATAGTACGACTTTCCTGCGAATATGATACGAGAAAGGACGATTGATGGCAAGTGTTGTACGAAAACTGTGCGATTGAACTACGAGTTAATACGATGTAGGCAGACTGTGTCTGATGTTAACACTGTCGAAATCAAAATACTGCCTAAAATAAAAGGAAAGAAGCTTAGAAAAGTGAAATAAACTGAATATACATGTGTAACAGAAAATAAAAACACCGTGTACAATAAACACATGAAGTATTGAACATAATCGTAAGTTCCACACTGTAGTTTTTTACTTTGATTAATGATTGATTAATATGTTTTACGCCGAATCGGCAATATCTCAGCCATATATCGGCGAATATAAAATAACATAAGTATGATGTTTAATGATTTCAGAAAAATCTTCTTTTACTCTATATATGCATTCCATTGTATATTGGTAAGAAATCGTCATTAGTCGTGGGACTATCGTGTATGTAAAGTGTCATATCGCTGTCCTTCGTACGAGTATCGAGTAACCGAGTTTAATCCTTCATAATCGTAGAAATATCGTAACCAGTTCGTAATGCTGTCGCTTCAGTTCGTACTTAAATCGTACAAACCTCGTACTTTGTCGCACAGACATCGCAGACACACCATTCTAGCAGCAAAACATTCCACACGCTGTAAAAAAAAAAACGCAAGACAAACCTGGTGATGAACGACGATTTTCATTTTCGTGGGTAATCGTAGCATAAATCGTGACAGTGTGACACGGCCTTTAAGCGTAAAATTTTCACCTAGAAAAGATTAAAATTGAGGGGAAAATCTAAATTAAGGGAGGGAGTACATGTACATCCCTGTGCAAGATCCCCCAGTGCCTCTCCCCCCCCCCCCAAAAAAAAAAAAGATACAACAAAAAAACTGGCGTAAAGCTTGAGAAATTCTTTGTGTTTACTTTTCTGTATTTTTTGTAGCCATTATCAGTGGCATAGCATCGTTTTTGAAAGTGGGGGGGGGGGGGGGCAGCCGGATAAATTTTTTTTTTACTTACCTGAAAAAGTTGACAAGGAAAAAAAAAAAAACAAAAAAAAAACAAAACAAAAAACAAAAAAAAAAAAAAACGGAAAAGTTGAAAGTTGCCCAAAGTCGAAAATCCTCTGGCAATTATAGATTAGAGGCTAACTTTTTTTTCAGTGTAAACTACATTCAGTACCAATTCTAATACTTCATTTTCGGTACATCACTAAAACTGGGGGGGGGGGGGGCAACCAGGTTTTAAATTAAAATTTGCTATAGTATAGGTAAGGTTGGGAAAAAAGGGGGGCAGGCCCCCCTGCCCCCCACCCCCCTGTTGCTACGCCCCTGGTTATAACCGGCTATTTTAGACATGTGATCGATAAAATGCCCCGCCTACTCCGGATATTAATGTGACACAATTAAAACCCAACTCGGACAAGCGCAACATTTCGGAATTTACTTCCACTAGAGGTCT